TTTTTCAAAATTGGATTATTGTTTTCCTTTCTATGCAGAAAATGTATATTTTTAAAATTTCGACCATTTGTGGGGGAGGTACCAGAAGAAGTGGACCGATATACTCCATCTTTACACCACACCTTGGGTTAATAATGATGATTAGGATGTGTGAAATTTGAAGACAATCGGACTCTTCCATCACATTTTATGAGAGTTGTAATTATTCAAAATTTTGACCATTTGTGGGGGAGGTATTTGAAGGAGTGAACCAATGTTGTCCATTTTCGCACCAGACCTATCACTGATGCAAATATTACGATTTGCAAAGATGGAGCAAAAGCGGATCATCGTTTCTCTTTCTGTGCAAAGAATATTATTTTTTTTTTGTAAATTCCGACCTTTTGTGGTGGAGGTACCAGAAGGAGTGGACCGGTATTGCCCATCTCCGAACTCGATCTAAGTTTTACAAAAATATAACGATGTACCAAGTTTGGGCCAAATCGGATACTCCCTTCGAGAGTTATCGTGCGCACCAGCCAGCCAGACAGACAGACAGACGGACGGACATCGCTAGATCGACTCCAAATGTTCTGAAACGGATTTGGTCCAGAGAGACCTAGGGTCTAAAACCGTTATTTCGACTAGGCACGTTTTGACCGTATCAAATGATTATACCCTCTGTAGCCATATGGCTGAGGGTATAAAAACGTTTTCCACTTACACAAACAACACGTATATACATTCATTTCTATTTATGTATATGTGTTCTTAAGTAAGAAGGACATGTTTGTTTTACGTTTTAACTACCTAATAGTTGCAATAAATGCAACAGAGTGTAAAACAACTGCTGCATTGTGCAATATCTTACAATGTTGCTATTGCTGATCTTGTCCTAAAAATATACATATGTACATACAGGGTCAGATAAAAAACTGCAACAAAGACAAACGCCATAATTTTTACATTTTTTTTAATTTTATTGAATTATGTCGGAATTAGCATCAAATTTTAGAATAAGTTTAGATTTGTTCGAATTGGCGCATGCTGAGTGCGATGATGTTGAGTCCTGTTGGAATGTCCAAGGTCTGCGGCCAAAATGTTTGCGTGCCTAGGCTTTAATACACCCTCCAGAATATTTTCGCGATAATATTCAGCATTTATTCTGATGCCACGGTCGATTAATACGAGCGGAGAGAGACCATCAGCTGTTATTGCGGCCCACACCACCACCTTGGCCGGCGCTTGAGTTCTGGTGGCCAACCGAAGATGCACGATCATTTTGTTTGTTTACAAACTGCTGGACAGCGAATGTTTTCTCATCGGAGAAAACCAAATTCGGCAGTTCACCACATTCGGCCAAGGGAAGCAACTCTTTAGCTCTTTTGAGTCTATTTACTTTCTGTTGCGGCGTAAGTTCTTGCACTTTTTGGAATTTCAATGGCTCATTTTTCAATATTTGCCGAATGGAATATGGCGATATGTTCAGCTTACGAGCCATTTTTCGGACACTGCGACGCGGGTTTCGATTAAGTCGCTGCTTTACTTTTCGAACCATTTCTGCTGATGTTGCTGTTTTCTTCCGTCGACTTCCGTGACGTCGGGCTACACTACAAGTATCACGGTAACGGGTGATGGTACGAGACACAAAAGATTTATTCACATTTAAATGCTGGAGTGCTCTAACGTTAGCCACTTGTGGTTTTCCAGCCAAATATAAAGAAATCACATTTCATCACGAATAACTTTTTTTCTGGAAAATTCTCACCAAAATGCTTTTGTACGCTTGTAGACAATAGATTGAGCTGTCACTTGAATAATTTTAACAGCTGTCGGACGAGTGGCTTAGAAATGACAGCAGTCTGAAGTTGGATGCAGTTTCTTCATCTCACCGTGTATAGCTATATAACGGTAACTTCCGATATTCGGTGCTTCGATTTTTTTTGCCACATTTTTCCACGGAATTTTCCAAAAATACCATAGCTACGGTGGCGTAACATAGTCTATATTGCTCCCGGTATTCGGTACTTTGATGATATTTGCCACATTTTCCAAGGATTTGTCTAAAAATTGGTATTTGTAGTTCGAAATGGGTTCTAGCTCCGGTGGCAGAACATTGTTCCACGTTTTCCTATAGCGCACATATGACGATACTGGTAATAACCAGAAAGAAGGACCCATGGCTCAAAAAGGAAAGAAGCAAAAATCAACTCTGCTCTGGAGTCTTATAGTGTCAAATAGACTTTTAAATATGCAACAGTTGGTTTTGTTTATTTTTTTGTTCACATTTGTTTGTGTTCACAATACATAAAGTAACAGTTCATGACAGAGGCATGTTAATATAAAAACCACAATTACAGAAACAAATAACAAATGATAGTTTGAATAATCCAAAAATGTGGTTTCAAATTTCTATTCCGTAGACCTTTCCAAAAATGTACATATTGTTTTAGCGGTTTAAATCAGTTAACATTGGTAACTATGTCGTTGTGATATCATAACAACACTGGTATCTTCACAAGGTTACCATATTTTGAATCTATCTTATACTATTTTCATCATCCCGATGAATATTTCTATCGACTCCAAATGTTCTGATACGGATTTCATGTTCCGCGTTTGAATGCCCCAGAGTTTCGAGCGGGAGTTTCAGTATTTTTTTCCAAATTGTTGTTCAAAATATTTATTTAGATTTTCGTTCATCAAATTTATTTAAATTGTCAACATGAATTTTTATTTTAAATATGGTCTGTCCCTGCAAGAATCAACGAATTTTGCAATTTTCTCCGATATCATAAAGGGAGAATGGGTTATCGTAGTAAAATCTTTTACTTTCTTGCAGTTCTGGAGCAGAACCATAACAATAATGTTGTTTTTGTTAGTTGTTGTAGCTGATGCATACAACCTTAGGCTGTTTCAGACGATATGTTTTGTACATATGTAGTATCAAATTTTACATATGTAGAAGATGCACACATTTGCACACGATTACAGCGAGCACTATTACATTATTACTATTATTATATAAAATGTGTGGTAATAAGTCATGCATAAAGTATAATAATTTTTTAGAAAATACGCATTAATCATAATGTAACCGATATACGATATTGCGGACCTATATAGACAAATTAATATTAAGGGTAAAGTGCTCACAAAGAACCCCTTGTGTAGAATTTCATATAATTCCGCTGAAAAATACCGAATATCGGAGGGTACCGTTATATGAGGGCAATTCCGTTGAAAAGTGTGGCTAAAATTATCAAAATACCGAATATCCGGGGTACCGTTATATTGGGGATAGATTATATCGTGGAGCTGCATGGACAATTATCTTTCAGGGGGTAAAGTACTCATAAAAAACTCCTTGTGTGGATTTTTAGACAATTCCGTTCAAGACTGTGGCTAAAATCATCAAAATACCGAATATCGGGGGTACCATTATATGGGGGATATACAATATCGTGGACGTATATAGACAATTCTCTTGCAGGGGGTAAATTACTCACAAGGAACTCCTTGTGTGGAATTTCAGTCAATTTCATTGAAAAATTGGGCTAAAATCCTCAAAATACCGAATATCGGGGGTACCGTTATATGGGGGCTATACGATATCGTGGACCGATATAGCCCATCTTCGAACTTGACCAGCATGCAGACAAAAGAGAGATCTGTGCAAAATTTTAGCTTCCTATATTTGATTTAGCTTCCAATTTTGAGATACACACGAAAATACACATGGATAATAAAAGTGACAGCTAATATGTAAAACCCTTATCGTCTAACAGCGTTGTATTTATAGTAATGTTACCCAAATACGTTGAGCGTAAAAATTTCAAAATTGAACATTTTCAACATTGAGAATTGTTCAATTTCTTTATTTGTGTGTTGAAAATAAAAATGAACGAAACAAAAAATGTGAATGTTTGTAATTGGAATATATAACAATATTCATCCAATTTTGAATAGCAGCTTGTTTTGGTCGTTAACTTGCCGAAACATTTCGGTTATTACGGAAATTATAAGCATTTTAATTTCACCGACTTTTGACGGTAACTCAACAATGAGTTAGAGAATCCCACAACTGAGTGATTGGTGCAAAACAACTTGCCTCATATTCTATATGCAAGTAAATTAGACCTGCTTACAAATTTGACGATTTAAGCTCCGACAAAAGTTGATTTGTTGTAATTTTCGCCATGGTACTTCAGTTATTCAAAATTAGACACAACAAGTTGTTCTCAGTATTTCTAAATTTTCTTAATTTTTACAAAAAATTAAATAGCCCAAGATTCATAAACAACCGATGTTTTCTGTCAAACATTTGATAGTAATTCAATTCACACTCAAAAAAAAAAGGTCAGTAATTTTAATAAGTGGCGCACAATGTACGCTTTCTCAAATCATCACGACGCTTTCTCAAACTTTTACATTATTGCAGTTCTGTAACAGAGCCATACGCATGGTAGAACTAAGAAGGTAATGTAATCATATGTTTACAATTTTTTTTCAAATTTATATATTTGTCACATTCAAAATCTATATTCATAAATCCATTGTATACACACAAAGCCAAAGATGGGAACTGTTTTCTATGCATTGAAGTTTGACAAGGAAAATTACAGAAAATGCAGAGTTGGGAGTGCTGATTTGAAATGAGGTTACCTTTATTTATTTGTACCATGGTCATACGCATTATTTAAAAAATTGCAAACATGTGTATTGTAGCAAAAACCTTTACATTCTTGCAGTTCTGGATTTTTCCTTTATGATTTCGAAAAACAGCAAAACTAGTAGATTCCTGCAGATTCAGGAACAGAGCATTGATTAAATGGCTTTACCTTCTTAGTTGTACCATTGGTCCGTTTCTGAACTGCAAGAATGTAAAAGTTTTTATTACGATAACCGATTTTCCCTATATGATATCAAAAAATAATTGCAAAAATGATAGATTCTTGCAGGTTCCGGAGCAGTAAAAATTTAAGCGAAAAGGAATTAATGGTATTAAACCCTATTTTTAGGATGTTTCAAACAAAGTCGTTTTGATAACTGGTGGAGGCGGCGGTGTTGGAAGACTTATAGCTCTAAACTATGCAAAACTAAATGCTCGAGTAGTAATTTGGGATATAAACCATGAGGGTATGTGAACCAATAAAAATACATGCATACATATGTATTAACCAATGATTTTTCTGTCATTTTGTTGCTTTAGCTATTAAAACCACAATTGATCTCCTGGCACAAAATGGTCTACATAACTGCAAGGGTTATGTTGTCGATATCTCCGATCGCGACGAAGTGTACCAAAAGGCAGCCCAGGTCGTTAACGACGTCGGCCATGTCGATGTTTTGATCAATAATGCTGGTATTGTGTGTTGTAAACCTTTCTGGGATTTACCCGAACGGGTTATTCAGAACACCTACAACATTAACGTTATCTCTCACTATTGGACTGTTAAGGCATTCCTGCCGCACATGATGCAAAGCAATAGCGGCCACATTGTTACTGTCGGCTCGGTAACGGGTATGCTTGGAACCTATGGCTGTTCTGATTACAGTGCCACGAAATACGCCTGTATTGGCTTCCACGAAAGCCTTTACACTGACCTCCGAACTCATGGATATGATAATATTGGAATGACATTGATTTGTCCATACTACATAAACACTGGCATGTTTTCCGGTGTCAAGCCACGCATGATTCCGATGTTGGAACCGCAATATGTGGCTGATAAAATTGTAGCCGCCATGCGAAAGAACGAAGTATGGTGTGTGCTACCGAATTCAATTAGAATGTTGACACCACTGAAATGGTAAGTAAACAAATAAGGCTATTCAATCGTGAATCAGACACGGAATGCTCTTGTGTGTAAGACAAGGAAAACCGGCTCTAATTTCGGATATATTTTAATATTCCATATGTGTTGACATTTATGTGCGGTTTCTTTATTACAGTCTGCTGCCGGCTAAAATGTGCTGGGAATTAATGTCACGCGTAGTTCGTGGTCCCGAATCAATGATGATGTTCAAAGGACGTGGTCGTGTCGCTGCTGGTTAATAAATGTACCATCGTAGAAGAATCCCTAGCAATTAAGGCCGCCACGAACAGAATATTTGCAACCTGAAAACAATGACCTTTGCGACGTAATACACTCGCAAATAATCAAAAAAAATAGTCGGCGTTTATTACAGTATAGTTTAATAGAGTTGTCAAAAATCTTAGACTAGTAATTAGACGTATCTTTGGTAGAAAGTTATTTATAGTAAATTTAAATGTGCATAATATAAATGTTTATAAATACATAATAAGAAAAATAAATGTTTATAATATATAAATGTGAAAAAGTCTCGTTTTAATTAATGGGTGGGCACACCCAAATTACTATGTTCTCCTTAACAAGCCGTTAGGGAAAATACATAAAGGGAGAACTACTATATCAGTAGTGGAATTCTCTAACTCATTTTATTAGTTATCGACAAAAGTCGGTAATTAAAAGGCTTATAATTTCGGTAATTAGCGAATTTTTTCGGTTAGCTGGCGAAGTAATCAAAGTAGTCGCTAAGACCCACCGATAAATACCAATGTTGTTAACTTTAACTACTTTTTTATGTCAAAATTTTGGCTTTCAAAGTTAGCGATTTTTCTCGGTAACTCAAATAATGAGTTAGAGAATCCCCGACAGGTCGACCAAGAAAACTACTTTTGATACAAACTTAGTATTTTTCGCACAATTGTGATTTAACTCTCTTTGAATCTTAAATCACAATATGTCATTTGACAGCAAACTTAGTTGTCAGATGGGCTTACCTGCCGTCCTTATATAGGCATAAGTCACCGGATGGCTTTTCCGTAAAACAAGTCCATAGACTAATGAATATTAGCGAACGAAAACAAACGAAACGATTAATGTGCCCCTCACACGAATACACAAACTTTCCACAAACAATAAGATTGCCTAAATGTACTTCAGCTATGAGTTCATTATTCTATGATCAGTTGTGTGATTTGCATGATTGATTCACTCGACTCCGAAAACCGTTAAATATTAATAAAGGTGAGAATACATAAAACGTTTTTTTGCCTGGCTAAAGTCATCGGTTGGCACCTTCTTCCATTCATTAGTGTATGGTAGTGTGGTGTACTCGACACATTTTTTTCAGAATTGCACCTTTTCACTTTGGTTTGCAATAAAAAAAGAAAATTTAACAATAACGAGAGTAGTTGAAAGTTACAAAATAAGCCTACAGTTATCGATATCTTATCCGTTTTACACTTAATTTATGCTAAAACGTTCTTCAAATCTCTTCAATTCAAATCATGACTAGGTTATGTTGCAAATTGCAACTAAGTCGGAATGCTATCCCGACAGATCATTTCAAAAAAAAATACATGTTCGTCGCCTTTCGAAAATGTGGCTTCGCAACTAATAACTAATTGGATTGAAACAGATTTGACTGCAAAGTGGAATTATCGATTAGTCGACAATCGGCCTGCGTATCCCTAAATTGATATCCGACTTACCTTATGCCATAAGAAGAAGAAGAGACACGTCACACACAGCAAATGTCATTCTAGTAAAAAATATTTGCAAATTGGACACATCTCGTTGGAGCATTCGAAAAAAGCTGTAATTTATTAAATGAAGAAATAGAAAGTAGTTCAACATCCATTACAATGAGTGGTCGCAAAAACGAAACAAGGGCGGAACACCGACAGTTGGAGGAACTGAGCGAGGGAAGACAAAATGAGCTTGTCTCTCAGAAAACTACTAGTGTTCACCCCAGTGGCAGCGTGGATGACTTGGTCCAGTACGTTGGACTGTATGTCCGCAACCCCCTATTTTTGAGCGGACTTATATTGCCGTTTGTTCCACTGTATTTTGGGGCATTTTATTTATGGATTGCAGTATACGGCATCGAGGAGCACTATGAAGCCGGTTTGGTTTCAGTGGCCGCTATTGCATTTGTACATATTCTAACTTTGCTGTGTTGTTATTGGAGCGTACATGTGTTGGCATTCCTAAATTGTCGTAAAGTCAAAGTGCCAAAGGCGGGTGTACTGGCCAAAGTAGTACCTACAGCCAACAACGGTTCGTCAGAATTTGTGGCGATAAAGAGCGCCAAGTATGAAGACGACCGTGAGGTATTCTATTTTTACTTTCAAAAAACCAAGTATATTTGGGACGAAGATAAAGCCACTTTCAGAGGAATAGAATTTCCAGTCAATGAACTGCTGAGTCACTACGCCAAGTCACGTGGCCTAGAGACCGATTCGTCCATAACATTGGCTGAACAAACGTACGGCAGAAATGACATGGAAATGGTTGTGCCGGAATTCTTTGATCTTTTCATTGAAAGAGCAACTGCGCCATTCTTCGTGTTCCAAATATTTTCGGTTGGTCTGTGGTGTTTAGATGAATACTGGTACTACTCGCTATTTACATTGTTCATGTTAATTGTATTTGAATGCACCCTGGTCCAGCAACAATTGCGTAATATGTCCGAAATCCGTAGAATGGGAAACAAACCGTACACACTAAATGTGTATCGATACAATAAGTGGAAAATGCTACCATCGAATCATTTGCTTCCTGGTGATTTGGTTTCCATCACACGATCTCAAAATGAGAATTTAGTGCCTTGTGATTTAGTACTGCTACGCGGAAGTTGTATCGTGGACGAAAGCATGCTAACTGGTATGTATTTGCTTGTGAACATAATGTCATTTTATTTTATATTATTACTCCATAAAATGTATATAAAACAGTGATCCCGATAGTCTAACATTTGCCTTTAAAAGAACGCTCTACTGCCACAATAAATTTAAACTCTCTCTTAATGGACTAGTAAAGTCTAAAATTGCATTTTATATTTAAATATGTGTTGTTTTTCAGGCGAATCTGTGCCACAAATGAAGGAATCATTGGAGTCTCTTGACAATTTAAATACAGAGCTTGATGTTGAGGGCGATGGAAAGTTGTTTGTGCTATTTGGTGGTACCAAAGTTGTACAGCATACACCACCAACTAAAGATGCAATGAGAGCTCCCGATGGTGGTTGCATTGGCTATGTGATACGCAATGGGTTCAGCACATCTCAAGGAAAACTGCTCCGTACAATATTATTTGGCGTTAAACGTGTAACGGAAAACAACTTGGAAACATTTGCTTTTATTGTATTTCTAATGATATTCGCAATTGCTGCCGCAGTATATGTCTGGATTAAGGGCAGCGAAGATCCCGAAAGAAACCGTTACAAATTGTTTTTGGAATGCACCCTCATTTTAACCTCAATCATACCACCCGACCTACCAATTGAATTAACCTTGGCTGTGAATACTTCCTTGATGCAACTGTCGAAATTGTTTGTATTCTGCACAGAACCATTCCGTATTCCATTTGCCGGTAAAGTTCAAATTTGTTGTTTTGACAAAACCGGTACTCTAACATCGGACAACTTAATGGTCGAGGGTGTTGCGGGACTCACAGATGATGGTGCAATTGTATCGATGGAAAAAGCAGAGGAAAATACAATACAGGTCTTGGCCACATGTCATTCGCTGGTGATGTTGGATGATGGGTTGGTTGGAGACCCACTGGAGAAGGCAACGTTGACAGCGGTGGATTGGAATTTGACCAAACAAGAAAGTGTAATTCCAAAACGTGGAAAACTAAAGCCATTGCGTATATATCAACGCTTCTATTTTTCATCAGCTCTCAAGCGTATGTCTGTTCTAGCAGGTCACCTCGGTCAGTTTAGCAATGATGTACATTACATTGGTACCGTAAAGGGAGCACCTGAAGTTTTGATGAAAATGCTAAAGGAAGTGCCTAAAAATTATGAAAAGGTATGTTAATAGCGGAACTCGAAGACTAGAAGTTATTTTCACTCATTTTTTCCTTTTAGACTTTCTTGGAATATTCTCGACGTGGAGCCCGAGTTTTGGCTTTAGGCATTAAAGATTTTGGTACACTAAGCTCACAGCAAGTTCGTGAACTAAAGCGGGAAGATGTAGAGTGTGATTTGACATTTGCCGGATTTGTCATCATCTCTTGTCCCATGAAACCGGACTCTAAGAGTGTCATTAAGGAACTTATTGAAGCATCACATAAAGTAGTTATGATCACCGGTGACAATCCTTTAACCGCTTGCCATGTTGCCAAAGAGTTGCGTTTTACGCGGAAAAAGCTCCTGATATTATCACAATCTAAAAAACAAAAGGGTACTTGGCAATGGGAATCCATTGGCGGTGAAAGTGTCTTTGATTTATCAGGCGATTTGAAGGCGACGTTGGCTGAGCATGATTTATGCATAACCGGAGAAGGTTTGCAGTACTTGAAGGACTTTGAATACAAAAAGATGTTGAAAATACTGCCACGCATTACGGTATGCGCTCGCTTTGCTCCCAAGCAGAAGGAGTATGTAATTACCACTCTTAAACATCTGGGTTTTTGTACTCTCATGTGTGGTGATGGCACAAACGATGTTGGCGCTCTTAAACATGCCAATGTTGGTGTTTCATTACTCAGTAATGCTCCTGTTAAAAAAAGTTCTTCGCCAACTGCACCTGGAGCTCCAGCTCCGATTGCTACTTCAGAGAACTCTAATACAATAGCACCATTTAATCAAAGACCAGTTGGTCGTAATGCTGGAGTTGAAAGGGCAGGAACTCGACAGAACAATCAACAACCTCTTTCGCCAAGAGATCGTGCACTGCAACAGAGACGTGAACAGTTAGCTCAAACACAAGCAAGGCTCCAATCTGTTTTGCGTGAAATCGATGAAGATCAAGTGTCCGTCGTAAAACTAGGAGATGCTAGTATCGCTGCGCCTTTTACAAGCAAATCTTCATCTATTATGTGCGGTAAGTAAATGAGGGATATACCTACTAAAAATCTGTATTAACATATGAACACTTCTTCCTAAATTATAGTCAATCATATCATAAAACAAGGTCGGTGTACATTGGTCACAACTTTGCAAATGTTTAAAATCTTGGCCCTAAACGCCCTTATATCAGCCTACTGCCAATCTGTACTTTATATTGATGGTGTGAAATTCAGTGACACGCAGGCTACGTTGCAGGGACTTTTCATTGCTGCGTGTTTCTTATTTATAACAAGATCTAAGGTAAGTACATGTTATATAAAAATCATGCTCCTTATTGCAAGCATTGCATTTGGAAAATATATAACTGATTAAATCTTTAACAATAACAAAAGATACAAACAGTTGAATGTGTGGACGATTCTTCAATTTATATAACTCGGTGAGTTCTTAGTTGAAAATGTTTTGATAGTCTGCATTATTTTGTTCTGATGATTTTTGGGAAAGGCAAAAAGTGGGTGTGATTCTTATTAACTTGCTAATGTTTGACACTTATTGAGCTTGCTTTTGACAAAAGCTGAATAATGTATGTGACCATTCCCTTCAAAGAAATGAATATCATGAGTTCATTTAGAGAACAGAAAATATTGGTTGAATCTTCAATGATCACAAAACAAACAGAGAATTGTTTTCCTTCGATTTTTTATTATTATTATTTTTTTTTTTGGTGAAAAAGAACAGGTCGTATAAAGGAACATTTGACAAATAAGTAAAAACAATTTTGAAATACAACAGGAAAGGTTGGCTGTTACGTTGTACTCCGGAAAGCAACTGTGACCAATAGAGATGCAGCTGTTTAAACCTAATCAATGCTTCTCTTGTACGTTGTTTTCCCAATTAGTATCACCATACGAACGCTTCATAAGTGAGAATCGCACGGACTAGCGCCATATATATCTATTTAATTATATGCAGTGCGTAGATGGGTTCACACGTAGGCCGTTGCCAAGAACGTCGTCAGCGTATGCCACGGCTTTTGTTACAGTTTGAAATACGAATGGACTTAAGAGTGACATTGTTAAACGCCCCTTCCAAGTCGAGAGGGGCTGCCAATGTTAAGCAACCATTCAAGTTTTCCTCGATATAACTCGACGTCATGGTGCGCTGTTTCAACAGATTTGCCTTCCGTGGCGTGTTGAGCAGTGCTGATCGAGGCCGAAGAAAATAGGAAGTGAATAACTGGGGAATGTAAGTGACGGTGACTTTCCTCCACAGTACCGGAATGTGCGATAGATGCAGACAGATCTTAAAGATGAACAGCCACCCCTACTCTACTCCAATCGGCACAATTACCGTCAATGTATGTTGTAGCATGGCGGTAATAATACCATATGATCCAAATGATTTGAACTGTTTAAAAGTGTCAATAGCCCACTTGATTTTGGGAATACTTAAAATTCTGTAAATCATCAGTAGAACGGCAATTTCGTTGATCGAGCTGTCGATCTGTTGTTGCATCTGTGCGGTTTAGGATTAGTGGTGGCTAATAGATTGAGAGTCTCTAGACCGGAGTCAGTCCACCTGCCATCTCTCGTTATAGGTTCAAGTACCATCATCTAGCTGAATGCTGTCTATGGACTTGGGATCCTTAGACAGTATTTCACTCCCTCTATAGACTCACAAAAGTTGGTTCAAAAGAGTTCCAATCAGTACAAAGTTTTGTTTAGTTTTGCTTTGCTTGTAATGTGATATCTTGGCTGCTTTTCAAAGAATAGCAAGATCTGCTGTCCATAAAATCTGTTGGGATTTTCTTCCATGGTAGGTGATTGGAAAATATGTCTCATACTTGAATATTTGAGACATCATTTACTGCTCTCGACGTTACTGTTCTCCTTGGATTCCTATAAGATTTGTAAAAATTGCGCTTCATGTGTGTTATCGGTAAGTTGTGGGATACCGCAAGGCTTAGTTCTGGGTCCCTTGTTGTTTATAATGTATAACAATGATTTGTTTAGTCGTGTTAGATGTAGAAATTGTTTGTCCATTGCATTTGCTGGTTCTATGCAGCTATTTTTATACCCTCAGCCATATTGCTAGAGAGTGTGTATATCATTTGATACGTGTCTCATCGATATAACGGGTTTTGACCCTAGGTCTCCTTGAACCAAATGGTCATTTCGAGTCGATCTCGCGGTGTCCGTCTGTCTGTCTGGCTGGTGCGCACTATAACTCTCGAAGGGAGTTTCTGCTTAATATAAAAAATGCGTATTGCATGCGCTGATAAATTCCAATATTTCTGTACTCTGTATGTTCTTAAACAAAGGAACTTGTCTATTTAACACATAAAAAGTGACAGTGCCAATTTTTATTGTATTCTCGCACCAACGTTAATAACCAATAACTATGTATTTTTTACTCTTTTTAGCCTTTGAAAACCTTGTCTAAGACCGCACCATTGCCAAACATTTTCAACTTATATACAGTTTCCACCATTCTGTGCCAATTTGCAGTTCACTTTACAGCATTGTATTATCTAACACAAGAATCTACTGCCAGGGCACCGCCAAGGTAAGAAAAATGTCATTGTCAATGTCCCTATTATTATGATTGTATGTAATCTGATATTTCAGAGAGGGCAAAGTTAAACTTTACATTGATATGGATGCTGAGGAAAAACAGAAGTTCGAGCCAAATATTATAAATAGTACCGTGTACATAATTTGCTTGGCATTACAAGTATCAACATTTGCTGTTAATTATAAGGTAAATAGAAGTTATTATACGACTGTAGTTTTTGGACTTGACGACTTTATTGTTCATAGGGCCATCCTTTCATGGAAAGTTTACGGGAGAATCGTTTGTTGCTGTATTCAATTCTAATATCAACTGGTTTAGTTTTCATGTTGGCCTTGGGTTTGTCTCCTGAGCTCACCAACACATTTGAAATCGTTGATTTTCCCAGCGAGGTAAGTTTCATTCTACGCCGCAGTTGTTGTTGATCGTTTAATTTATGTCAATTTGTTTTTGCAGTTCCGCCAAATACTATTATATGTGCTGTTAGCAGACACAATTGTGGCGTATGTGCTCGACAGAGTTTGTTCATTCCTCTTCGGCGAGACTAGAAGAAAGTCAAGTATATTGAGTTCTTGAATATCAGTTCATCCCAAAGAATTTACATTTCCCCCATTAAATAGTCAAATAGTAATGATTGACAACGGTGATGATATAAAAATTATAAATATACTTCTATTGGGAATTTAGATTTTTAATGGATTTATGGGTTATGTTACATATGAATGTGTATTAGTTTTGTATTTTAATGCAGAAAAGAATCATTTGTTATACTTTTAAATTAAAATTGAGTCGAAAAATAATAGGTTAATAAAACACATTTAATATTGAAGAAAACATCACTGGCACAATACGCTGATATTTTCTCACATACACAGAAGAAGCATTTGTACGTTAAGCAAATTCATTAATGGGAATTATTTATTTATTCAATTTTTGTTTAATGAAGCAAAGAAATGGTGTACATAGCTTACATTCAATTACTGACATACATAATTCATCTTTATAAAGAACACAAATATATGCTATTTATTTGTCTTGTCTCGCTCATTGAATTGTTTCATTCATTGCTGCTGTAGAGGCAAGTGCTGGTGTAGTAGTTGTAGTTTGTCCTCCTGAATCGTCCAATTTAGATTCTTCCAACTGTTTGAACTGTATTAGTATGACAAGATAAGTTGTAACCGCAGAGAAAATCTACGAAAATAATAAAACTCTTTAGTTATAGGAGAATAATTGTGGTATGTATATTACCTTAAAGAGAGTCGAATTGTCAATAACAAAGAAGCCATATGCTGTAAATTGCATTTCTTGTTTTATGCTTTTTGTTAGAAATTTATCAACCTGAAATTCATTTGATGAGTACATAGATTTGATCACTTTTGTGAAATGTCAGGATACATACAATATTTTGGTATTCCTTTGATTTTTCGTATACCCGCGCCAGGATCTGCGACGTTAAATTTGCCTAAAAAGTAAAATGCGATTACTTTCTCAAAATTAAATAATTAAATTTTCCTAAGCCAGCTAGATGTATTTTTAAATGTTAATTAACATTTTAATCATTACCACGAGCACGAGCTAGTACTAATCTTTTTATTAAAATGCTCTAACTGCGCTGGGGTAGGACAAGACGTCCGAAGAATCTCTTATCAGGCGTATTATTTCAGTATTGTGTTCATTACTTTACGCCTCAATTACAGAATTAATATAATTTCCACTTCTAAGGTATTTTCTTATCATATGATTTGTTTGGATTCCTCATTCTTTCATAACTCTAATGTTGCCATGTTAACACTGAATAATGAGATTTTCGAAGTTCACCAAATCGATCGGAATCTTAAAAAGATAAAACAAAAGCGATCGATGTAAAATACGGAATTCAAACCTTTCCGGTTGGAGTTTGTGGCATGCCTGATCAGCGGACGAAAAAAAAAACGAAACGAATAACGTACTGATCACACGAAGTAACAAACTTTAAATTTTTTCGGTCGTTTTGTACTCCAAACAAAATCACAAACATTTCAATGCCAGAAATACACAAACAATACGATTGCTTTAATATTCTTCGGCTGTGAGTAGCCGAGCTGTATCTTTTGCGAACGAATCGCCAAAAAACGTTTGCTGTGCGAAATGATGACTGCTATACAGGGTGAGATAAAAAAAAAACTGCAACAAAATCAAACGCCATAATTTTTATTTTTTAATTTTTATTTAATGAAAGCAAAAATTGTCGATCATATTTGAATTCACGTTTGAATTCTATCACGAATAACTTTTTTCTGGAAAATTGTCACCAAAATGCTTTTGTACATGTGTAAACAATATTGTTACGAATATAACTTTAGATTTAAGTTAATTTAGATGAATTCCGTTAATTTAAGAATTTGAATTGTAACGTAAATTTCTACTACGCAGTTTATTTGAATAACTTCACAACAACAACTACTGTATAGATTTTTCTACATCCTTCCATTTCCTCTTTCATTTTCTATTTTGTTGCTGACGTACAATTCTTGTTAAACGTCATCATTGATGATCGCTTAATTCCTCTTTCTTTGTTACCCCCTCGCCTGTGTATGTGTTGTTGTTATTGTTCACTCAATGTAAGTTTGTATGTGTTGTTGTTATTGTTCACTCAATGTAAGTTTGTATGTGTTCGTTGCATTGGTAGATTGTTCGCAATCTAGGCGTTACCAGATCGTCTAGAAACTTCTGTAGCGACAGGCGAGGCTCATATAAATAGGGGAAATGGAAAGGCAGTTAGTCAGTTGTGAATCAGATCGCGAATTGAAACCGTCGAGTAAAGTAAAGTGCAAAGTAAAGTTGTGTGAATAAAATCATTGTAATAATCGTAATCCGAAAGAACCCGCGTTTTATTTGGTACGAGCTGTATTGGGAAATAAAACAACGTCTACACGGGATTAAGTAAAATCCAAGAACGTAACAATTGGTGTCGGAAGTGAGATTACGATAATACTACGATGAAGTTTAAGGATCTACGAGTGGAAGACTTGAAGAAGGAACTTAATAAATTGGAATTGTCCTCTACTGGCAACAAGGCTGAACTACAAAAACGTCTGTTGGATGAGTTCGAGCGCCGTGGTATGAACATCGATACATATGAGTTTGACAGTAAGGATGAAGTGGATTTATCGGAAATGGGCGAATCCAACGGTGGGGAAGTCTCGTCAGTAGCTGCCAGGGGTGACGATTTCAGAGAAATGCTAGCCAAAATGTTTGAGGAAAATTTCAGAAGGTTCGAAGAAAATTCAAGAATAACGAACGAGAAACTCGAGTACATTGCAGAAGTTATTGGAAGGAGAGTGGAAACCGTGGAGGTCCAAATTAAAGAGTTGGATAAGAAAGTGCAGTCGGTTGACGAGAAATTTCTGTCCCACGACCATAGGGTTACAAATCTGGAGAAGAAAATTTCGGAACTGGAAATCAAAGGTGGTCCGGTGCGAGTTCCTGATAACACACTAAAAATCAAACCTCCTGTATTCGACGGCTCTACGTCATTCAATGTTTTCAAGTTACAGTTCGAGACAGTGGCTTCCAGAAATTCGTGGAACGACAGCGACAAAGCGGTTGCACTACTTCTGGCATTGAAGGGCAGTGCTGCTGATGTTATACAGAGTATTCCTGTCGCTTCTAGAAACAACTATGAAGATGTTATTGCTGCACTGGAACGTAAGTACGGTGGCGAACATAAACGAAACATCTACCTTATGGAATTAAGGGGAAGAGTACAGAGGGCAAACGAGACGTTACAAGACTTTGCAGCTGAGGTGGAACGTTTGGTGCTAATGACGTATCCAGGAGAGGATCACCCATTGCTGGACCGTATGAAAATCGAAACCTTGTGAATGGCATACGTGACCCTGAGATTAAGTATGCAACATATGCGTCACCAAAAGCATCATTTTCCGAAACTGTGTCGTTTGCCCTTGCCCAAGAGACGGCAAGAATAGTTGTTAAGCCCCAGACCCACAAGATTCGCCAACTGGAGACCGAAGGTTGCGAACCCAAATCTCTCGTTAACTCGATCGAAGACGCCATGAGGCGGGTAATAGAAGAGACAAAGTTAGTTGGGATGACTAAGCCCAGGGTTAGATGCTACAACTGCGATAAAGCAGGTCATATTGCGCGCGAATGCAGAGCTAAGCGCAAACGATCCAGGTCATCGTCACCACCTCCAACGAAAGATGGTAGAAGAATGGCCCAACAGTCCACCAATGAGTCACAGTTAAACGAAATCGAGCCAGTCCAGCGGGGCATGAACTGGCTCCCATCGACGATGGCCCCACAATCTCCATAGCAATAGTACAACAGGAAAGTCACAACCTAACAACAACTGGGTACATCAATGGTGATAAGCGAGTTCTGACGTTAGATACTGGCGCATCAAAGTCCATCGTAAGATCAGATCTGGTAAAGGGAAAAATAACGCAACTTAATGGAGTCAGACTGCGCACAGCAACGGGGGAGCCCGCGGCAGTACACGGCAAGATTACCCTAAGACTAACTATTGCCAATAAATCGGAGAATTACGAGTTTATAGTTGCCGATATCGTAGACGAAGTGATAATAGGCGCAGATTTTATGATTGCCTTTGGTATCAATCTGGATATGAAAGAACGTGTGATGACCTGGTCTAACGTCGAAATTCCGTTAAACGTGGGCTACGATGAAAGTACACCCATTAGACGTCTGACCACGGACCATCCAGAGATAATACCGCCCTGTGCCGAAGCAATAATATGGGTACCAATGAATGGAGATTGTGGAGCCGAGAAGTTGTGGGTGGTGGAACCAGCAGAAAACAGAAGCAGTAACATCCTAATAGCGAATGCCCTGGTGAAAAGCAACAAGGACGGATTAATTCCTGTTAGAGTTTTGAACCTGTCAAACAAGCAAGAGCAAATTTGCCAATTTTCCGATGTTGGACAATGCACACCAGCTGAAGCTGTAGTTAATTTGGAAACTAGCACCGAAAAGCCAGCTGCCATGGAGAAGAAGCACCTCGACGGCTACATAAAAGAGTGGACACACCAATTATCACCTTCCGAGAGGAACAAGGCTAAGCAGCTATTATGGAAATATGCCTCTACCTTTGCGTTGACAAAAGAGCACCAAGGAAGAACATCAGTGGTGAAGCATGAAATCAATACAGCAGACGCGAGACCCATTAAACAGCCTCCAAGAAGTGTTCCCCTGGCAAAAAGAGACGAGGTTCAGAAGCTGATAAGTGAAATGGAAAAGAGTGGTGTAATAGAACCATCGTCAAGTCCATGGTGCTCCCCAGTGGTCTTGGTCAAGAAGAAAGACGGAAGCACCCGATTTTGTGTGGACTACAGAAAGTTGAATGATGTCACCAAGAAAGACAGCTATCCGCTCCCAAGAATCGACGACACATTGGACACATTAGCCGTGACGTCATGGTTCTCCACCCTCGACCTGCAGAGTGGGTACTGGCAAGTAGAGATCGCCGAGAAAGATAAGGAGAAAACAGCGTTTGGCGTAAATGGGGGTCTCTGGCAGTTCAATGTCATGCCATTCGGACTCTGCAACGCCCCGGCTACATTTGAAAGGCTGATGGAGCGTGTGTTAAAAGGGCTGCAGTGGAAGTCGTGCCTCATATACCTGGATGACATCATAGTCATGGGACGCAACTTCGACGAACACATCAAGAACTTAAAGGATGTTCTACAGCAGCTTTCGTCTTCAGGCCTCAAGCTGAACCCAAAGAAGTGCAGTCTCTTCCAACGAGAGGTGAAGTTCCTGGGGCACCACGTGACGCCGGAGGGCATATCGACGGATAAGGAGAAAATTCAAGCCGTCAGAGATTGGCCGCAGCCCCGAAATCTCCATGAGCTGCGAAGCTTTCTGGGTCTCTGCACATACTACCGTCGATTTGTCCAAAATTTTGCCAACATCGCCGCCTTTCTACACCGTTTGACGCAAAAAGGCCAGAGGTTTCAGTGGGGCAACGACCAGGAGGAGGCATTCAGAAAGCTCAAAGACATGCTATGCAGAGCCCCCATTTTGGCATACCCTATACCTGGCGGTAAGTTTGTTCTGGACACAGACGCAAGTGCGTGCGGCATCGTCCTTTCCCAGGAAATCGACGGACAGGAAAAAGTCATCGGGTACTACAGCCGGACATTGTCGAAACCTGAGAGGAATTACTGTGTGACGAGGAGAGAGCTGCTTGCTGTCCTTGAGTGCGTTAAACACTTCCACAAATACCTATATGGCCAGCATTTCCTGCTGAGGACCGACCACGCTGCTCTCCAATGGTTGCTGCAGTTTAAGAATCCGGAAGGTCAACTAGCCCGTTGGATCGAGAGGCTCCAGAGTTATGACTTCAGAATCGAGCACAGAAAAGGCGGAAAACACGGTAATGCTGATGCCCTGTCTCGTCGGCCATGCAAAGTAGAATGCAAGCACTGCTCAAGGGCTGAG